AGGGGGAGGGGCAGAGGGAGAAGCAGACTCCCCACTAGGCAGGGCACCTGACTAGGGGCTCCATCCCAGGACCCTGGGATCATGACCTGAGTCGAAGGCAGTCGCTTAACTGACTCAGTCACTCAGGTGCCCCAGATATCCTCATGTTTTAAAATATTTTAAAATCATTTACTTGTTTTTTTAGGGGAGCATGGGGAGATGGTGGGTAAGTGTGGATATTGGTGTTCATGTAACCAGGTCTCCTAGAAGGCACTTCCTTTTGTTTTGATGGTAAATGGTAGGAGTGGCAGGGAGCTTGCCAGTATTTTTTTTTTTTTTCATGTGTAAGACTTTATTTTTTAACGGCAGTATTAGGTTCACAGCAAAATTGAGAGGAAGGCAGAGAGTTCTGATACACCCCCTGCGCCCACGCATGCATAACCTCTCCCATTAAGAACCTCTGCCACCAGAGTGGTACATTTGTTACAGTTGATGAAGCTACATTGACACATTATAATCACTCCAAGTGTATAATTTACATTAGGGTTCACTCTTGGTGTTGTTCATTCTATGGGTTTGGACAAATGTTATGTATCCACCATAATAGTATCATACAGAGCTTTTCACTGCCTTAAAAATCCTCTGTGTTACACCTGTTCATCCCTCCCTCAGAAACCCCTGGCAATTACTGATCTTTTTACTGTCTCTGTATTTTTTCCTTTTTGGAATGTCATATAGTTGGAATCATACAGTATTTAGCGTTTATGGGTTGGGCTTATTTCACTTAGTAATATGCATTTAGGGTTTCTCTATTTATTTTCAGGCTTGATAGCTCACTTCTTTGTAGTGCTGAATAATATTCCACTTGGTTGTACCACAGTTTATTTATCCAACATAATGAAGGACATCTTAGTTGTTTCCAGGTTTTGGCAATTATGAATAAAGCTACTAAATATTCATGTGCAGGTTTTTGAGTGGGCATTAGTTTCAGCTTTCTAGGATAAATACCAAGGAGCACAATTTCTGGACCATATGATAAGAGTATATTTAGTTTTGTAAGAGACTGCCAGACTGTTTTCTAGAGTAGCTGTACCATTTTGCATTTCCACCAGTGATGAATGAGAGTTCCTTTTGCTTCACATCCTTGTAAGTATTTGGTGTTATTAGTCCTTTGGATTTGGTAATTCTAATAGGTGTGTAGTGCTATCTCATTGTTTGAGTTTGCATTTCCCTGATGACATATGATGTGTGGAGCATCTTTTCATACTGCTATCTGAATATCTTTTTTGGTGAGGTATGTATTAAGATCTTCGGCCCATTTTTTTTTAAACCATTCTTTTTTTTTTTTTTTTTAAGATTTTATTTATTTATTTGACAGAGAGAGACACAGTGAGAGAGGGAACACAAGCAGGGGGAGTGGGAGAGGGAG